AAAAGTATGAAAGAAAAAGAAACATGAGAAATAAAATTGAATTCTTGATTCTTGAAAATTGAAAAGTATGACTATAATACACACTTATGCAGTATGGGAAGCAGCGACTTATTTATTCTTGTTTTCAGATTTCTCAGAATATCAAAGATTCGATGGAACAAGGTCTAGACGAGAATGAAGCAGAAGATGATGCTGTGATGACAGTGAGATCAACGAATTCAGATTCAGGTAAGCAATTTAAAAGGACCAAGAAGACTTTTATGTCTTTTTGATCTTTCACGGAATAGATGTGAACAACAACTCATTCTAAATTACAAACCCAAATGGAGGAAACTGCATTTTTTTTTTCTCCTTTTGGATTTTTTTGGCTTTTTGTGTAGGTTACAAAGGAAGCAAAAGATTCAAGTGTTCAAGAGGAGATTCCCACAAAATTGACAAACGGTCCTAATGTTATTCCTCCTCTCCATGATCGTAAGTGTTTCTCTTTACATGATGATTTTATGTTGTCCTTTCAACACTCTGCTAACTCTGTTGACTATATATAACAGAAACACAAAGTGCTGATGCTCGCCCTTCTGCTATATCGAGGATTTGTGAAATTTTCCAATTTGTGGACTTGAATGATGGTGAAATGGCTTTACTTGCACAAGCATTGAAGCAATATGCTCAACTATTATTGCTACCTCATGCACAGCTTACCAATCAAATAATAGCTTTGGCCTACAGAGTACTAGTTAACATTTTGGTCATGCTAGCCACTAAGACTCCATGTAACATTACAGCATCAGAAAAGTCAACCTTGGAGGCTAACCGGCGTGAAGCAGCTTTTGTTGGGTTCGACAGGGACTGGGTTGATTCAGTTCGAAAAAGAGTACAGTTGGGTGTTGACATGTTTGATGTCTTGGCTGTGGAAGAGGAAATTCAGGTGATGGAGGCCGAGCTTGAAATATGTGACAGTGCCTTGGAACAAGTTCGAAAGCAAAGAGTAGAAGCCAAGGAGCGGATTGGAGTGGCACGAAGACAGTTGGAGATGGCACAAACTGAGTTCGAAGGAATTGATTCTCAATTACAGGGTCTCTTAGAAGATGGCAAGAAATTGATTTCCAGGATATCAGAGTTCAGAGAAATAATAAGTGCCAAGGATAGACCCTTTGGCATTTAAGAGTGTTTGCTTAATTGCTTTCTTATTTCATTTAAGAGGGAACCATAATGCCCATGATGAAGACCAATATTTGCCTATGTTGAACTGAAAAACAGGACACAGTTTAAACTGTGATTTTCGGCTTTATACTCGATGGATGATCCATATCTATTAATATAAGGGAAGTGTAACCTCTCTAATGATACTTTAAATTATAAGGTACTTAAGACTGACTTATATATATGATTATGACAGTTGGTCGTTGGATAACGACCGGGGACAAAACAAATATACACTTTTGCTTACAAATGCTGCATAACTTTAAAGCGTAACTGCACAGACAAATTAAATTTGCACAGTTAACTATACAGAATTTGAAGTGCGCCAGATTGTTTGGTTTTTGTGTATTTATAACTATTGTGTTTAAGGGAGGAAAACAATTATTACCTCCAGTCCTAAATATATTAAAACTCAATTTGTAGTGTAAATTACACTATAATCTAGATCTTATATTTAGGATTAGAGGTAATATATTATACGGATTTTGTCTCTGACTATTTTTTTGTGCCAATGTAGATATGATGCTAGGAGAAAATAATTACTAATGAATGAAATCCTGTTATTCTTTTTAACTCACAAATGTTGCCAGAAATAAAGAATTGATAAAGTTAATTACTTTTTTTTTTTAGCACTGATAAAGTTAATTACTTTAAAACACAAATTTTATGTTTCGGTGTTATTAGAGTTTAGAAACAGGGGAGAATGTTGGAGGAATCGGCATTAGTTGCTTCAGAGAAGTTAGTGGCTCTAACTTGTTTATATATTCTGCAAATGGAATAAGTTTTCAAGTATGTTGATCATGAATACCTTGTTAATAGTTATAAAAATATGTGAAGGGAAGACGGATAGAACTGTAACCTTTCACTTATAGAAAAGCTTTCATGCTATTAAGCTAACAAGCCATTGGCTAACAACAAATGGCTTAGCATTTATACATTAAAGAAAAAAAAGATTTGCATGCATAAAAATCTGTTGTGTCAAGAAATGAAATAACAGATATTCAATACACAGAAATGTATAATGTAGTTTTCATACATAAGATTTTGTTTGTGTCAACATCTAATCCTTTGGTCAGTTTCTTACAGCAGATCTTAAGAAAGTAATCATCCTTCAAAATCATAAAACTTTTTGTTAAATACTTTAAAATAAAATTGAGTCATATGCTTGTCAACAGACCATCAAATATTAATCAGCTAAGACACACACACACATACCACTGACCATATGTAATCCATGTCTATACGTCTTTGTGAGCATCCCAGGCATCAGTAGATTTTAGTTCTGAGTAAAATACAATGCCTATTGAAATATTCTTTAATTTGAAATCTTGAAATGATATGGCTTTATGACAACTTGATCAAAAACTATTTTGTTAGATCTCAGTACTACCTCTAGTCCTTAACATTAAGAACTTGATAACTAATTTGAGGAGATTAAAAGAATTAGCTAAGTTGGGCGACTGTAACAAATATGTGTTGATTTTTCTATGGTGGGAACCACTTACAATTAATAAGGATATTTTAGATAAAACATTATAAATTTGAGAGATAATATGGATTGAAATTTTATATTTAAGATAATTCACGGCACCAGGTAAAACAGAGTAATAAAAAGATATGTGTGTGACTACTTTCAGGGCCATTTAGTGATAACCACAATCTCCAAAAGATAACAGTATTGTCTAATGTTGGGGGTCGCTGTTCATTGTATCAGCTGCTAAAAGCCCAAAACCTTGAGATTGGTATAACTTCATGGTTTCGACGGAAACAATAGAATTCACTTTTGCACAGCGTCCTCAGTGCAGACATTCATCGGTTCGTGCTTTCATAATGTGCACTTTTCAGCTTTTCTATTTCTACGAAAGCAATCAATAGGTATAAACTTATGGTTTTCAAGGGAACAATAGAGCTCTGAGTATACGTTTTTTCCCCTCTTTTTTGAAACCATTATATTTGCCAACTCTTGTTTTTTTTTTTTGGGTGAAATTTTCAATCTTGTGTAGCTGAAAGATGGTGAAATGGCTTTACTTGCTCAAACACTAGAATGATATCCTTAAATATTGCTGCCTCGAGAGCATCGCTCACAACGAATGATAGCTTGGTCCTACCGAGTGCTTGGGTTTGTCAATGAATAGGTTGATTCGGTTCGGTCCAGAGTTTTTGGTGCTGACATGTCTGTTCTGGTTCTGAGATTGAACAAAAACAGGACAAGGATGATGAAGCATGAAAAAGATAAGAGCGCAGGGGAAAGTAGTGTTTGACGAGTGAGAAGAGAGCCATTGTGATTTCTCTCACAACTTTTCGTGTTGGGAAGTCCACGATAATGATATTTATGAAGGGATGCGTATCAGTGTATTGGGTATTTGAGTTTCATGTCGTGATGGCAAGTCTTCAAATTTCATTGCACAGGTTTTCAGATATTCTTTATGCATGATATTTAATCAGTTATTTCAATTAATGACATTTAAAATACACTAGATAATTTCTCATAATTAAGATTTGAAAAAAAAAAACAAAACACTTGTATAACTGTTATTAGATAAAACTTATCTCACTTATTTGTATAACACAAAATTACGTTACATTCTAAACATCCCTAAAACCTTCCCACCGGGACAGCATCTTGATTTAGCTGAGTTCTTACTAACATCAGTCATGGATTATTCGATTGTTCTAGAGACCAACCATATCATATCATATCCAAAATGAGCTAGCGTGTGCTTAGTAATATTAAGATTAATCTTTTAATTAGTTACTTTAATTTTCTGGTTGTAATGTCATTATTAGTACGGATCTAGGCGTCTTGTTTGTATCAGCACTATTGCGTAATGCATTCCATTAACAAAATAATATATAGAGATTAGTTAAAAAATTGCCAAAATAACCAAAATTGTCAAGCGTCAACTGATCATGTGATCTTGCTAGCTCACTTAGTATATTTTTTTGGAATGTAAAATAAATTTAGACCATTTGCAGCTTAAATGTTCACCAAGATTAAAGCATGCTTTCATGTTCAGACAATAGTTATAGAAATACTTACATATTGTCCACTGACAAAATCATTAAATCGGCAACATGATTCAAACTCACGACATTATTGTGAATTATAAATTAATTCCTTACGTAACAACTCTTGTTGGCTTCTCACTTTTTTTTTTCCTGGCCTTGGAACAAGGTCGAAAGCAAAGAGTAGAAGCCAGAGAGCGACTTGCAGTGACATGAAGACAGTTGGAGATGGCAAAAGCCGAGTTAGAAGCAACTGATTCTCAACTGTCGGCGCTCTTGCGAGGTCAAAAGAAATTGAGTACTGAGATAACAGAGTTTAGAGAAATAATAAGTGCCAAGGATAGAGATATTTTAGATAAAACATTATAAATTTGAGAGATAACATGGATTTAAACTTTATACTTAGAACCAAATTCAATTCATAGCTAACTCTTCTGCTAAGAAGTAATGGTAGGATAATTCAAGACACCAGATAAAACAGAGTAATAAAAGAATTTATGTGCAACTACTTTCAGGGCCATTTAGTGATAACTACAATCTACAAAAGATAACAGTATTGTCCGATGTTAGGGTCTGAGTATACGTATTTTTCCTCTTTTTTGAACCGTTGTAATTGCTAACTTTTTTTGCTGTGACAGAAGAACAAGTCACTGTCGCTGCCACTTCGTCTCCTAGATTGGGGATTTGTGAAACTTTCAAACTTGTGGAGCTGAAAGATGGTGAAACGGTTTTACGTGCGAACACTTGAGTGATATCCTTAAATATTGCTACCTCAGGAACATCGCTCACAACGTATGATAGCTTGGTCCTACCGAGTGCCATTAGATATTTTGGTGGTGCTGGCTACCAAGACTACTTATAGCATCACAAGTTCAGGAAAGTCAACCTTGGAGGCTAACTTTTGCGATGCAACCTTGCTTGGGTTTGACAAAGAATGGATTGATTTGGTTCGGTCTCGAGTTTTTGGTGTTGACATGTCTGATGTGTTGGCAGCAGAAGAGGAAATTCAGGTGAAAGAGATCGAGCTGGAGACGTGTGACTTTGCCTTGTAACAAGTTCGAAAGCAAAGAGAAGAAGCCAGAGAGCGAATTGCAGTGATTGATTCTTAACTGTCAGGTCCATTGGAAGGTCGCGAGAAGTTGACTACGGAGATAACAGAGTTTAGGGAAATAATAAGTGCCAAGGATAGACCCTTTGGCATTTAATTGTGTGTTTGATTCGTACTTTTTGTTAATTGATTTCTGTTTATAAGAACACTGGAATTCTGAGCAGACCATAATGCATATGATACAGACTAAGACTCGCCTGTGTTCCAACCAATAACAGCAGGACAGAGTTTGATGTTTGCATAATTAAATTTGGCCTTTATGTTTGATGGATGATCCGTATCTGTTGTTGGTAACGATTTTCAATCAAGAAAAGCAACCATATTTATAGGACAAAAACCGACATAGATATCCAATACTACCTCTAGTACTTAATATAAAATCTCGTTTGACTTTTATTTTGATTCTTTTTTTTTTGATACTAGACTTTTATTTTGATTCTAAATATAAGATCTTAATCCACTTTGTTTCTCATATTTATACATATTTTTTCAAAATAGCCTTTCTAATAATAATAGTTCTACTCAATACACTTGGTTAATAGGGATATTTTAGAAAAGACAACACCTATTTATTACCAAAAAAAACTAACTTAACTTATTTTCTTAATCTTTTTAAATTAGTTAACTAGCTCTTATAATTAGGACGGGAGATAGTATTTATTATACTCAAGCATAGGCAAATTGATCGGCTATCAATTTTTTTGTTTTTAACTACAACTGTCCTCGGGTAGTTTAAAAAAAAAAAAAACTAAAAAGACAAGGTGTGCAAGTGAAATAAGATAAAATAGATACAATTTAGCCTTTGCTCTTAATATTCGATGGATTTGATTTTATTGTCGGTGAACTATATTCCTTGAACATCACCAAAAATAACTAAATAAATAAATACAATGCGTATCAATTTTTCATTCTTATTCTCTATTAGTCTATTCTATCATTTCAATTCTGTCTTTATATATATAAGATCAAAATCTTTGAAATATCCCCTGTACTACAGATAATGGTTTTTCAAGCACAGTACAATTAATTAATAAAGTTGTTAAATCAATTAATGAGTGGCTATGAGTAATTCAAATTCTTGGTCTTTAGAGGTAAGCATAATTTTTCTCTATTTGTGGAATGTGTATGGGATCAAAATTTGAGCAGCAAAGAAGACCAGGTGCTCATCAACACAAACGGGAAAAAAAAAAAAAAAAAAAAGCCTTTGTTCAATAGGACAGAGCTGGAAAATCGTCCCCCCCCCCTCTCTTGCGTAATAGTGGTGATTAGCTAGCAATATATTGAAATTCTCACTGCTCAATTTAATAGTAATAATTATAGGAAGAAAACCATACAGGTAAACTTTGTCATTTATGCAAATTTTTTTATGAAAATTTTTTTATTTTTAATTAAATTCAGTTGAAATACCAAAATCTAAATGCAAACCTGCGCATTAACCAAATTTCTAACCAAACCAAAAGGTCCGCTTGGGAATTTCTAAATTTTGTTAAAAGACGAAATGCTCTTTTGCTGCTGCAAATCAAAATTGAAAGTAGGTGTAGACCTAATTTCAATTTTTTTTACTTATTTTAGTTGGATTTTATTGAGCATACATAAAGTTGTCATGCCTCAATAATGGCACGATGGACCGGGGGGTCACTAATCTGGCTGAACCTGATTTATCATATATATAAATAAATATATGTGTACGTGTCAAATTTTTATGAGATCAAATTTCCAATCATGACAATTAAAAAAGGGTTAAAGTACATATAGTACCCTCAAGTATTTTTTTTTATGCATATAATACCCCAAAGTATTTTGTGGTACATCTTGTATCTTGAAATATTTTTCTAAGAGCGTTCAGTATTGTGAAGTACTTTTGATGTATCTAACAGCTCAAAATATTTTTTTCCAGGCGTCCAACACCTAAAAATATTTTTTGAAGCACCAAGGCAAAAAATATTTCAAGGCATTAGATGCACCTAAAAAATACTTTATGGTGCTGAATGCATTACAAAATATTTCAGGATACTGGATGCACCTTATAAAATATTTTGGGATGTTGAATGTAACTTAACCCATAAAAAAAATCCTAATCACATAATAACAATATAACTCTTAATTAAATGGGATATGCTTTAAGAAAATAGAAGAACGAAGCAGTATTAATGAGAAGGCCTGATAAATTTTTATGCAAAGCAGTGAGAAAGCCTGATAAATTTTTAGGCAAAGAAAGTATCACTTTGTGAACTTTGTACTTTGATTTAGGTCTTTTTTACTAATAAAATTTTTTATGGGGGGCGATTTCCCCAATTTTCCCAAATTCATATATATCAAATTACAATAGCTAATTATTCAACTTCATCACTTTTCATTAAAAAAAGGGTTTCTTCAATTTGATTGAAATTTACATTCGAAGTGTAAATAATCAATTAAAGGACGATCTCCCCAACAAGGCTAACATAAAATAAACATATTGTTGTATGATTAGTGTGGAATGCTTTTTTGACGATTTGGGTGTGGAAAAAAGATACCTTAACATTAAAAATATTTAAAAGGCTTAAAGAAAATATTTCCATTGGACCAACATATATAATTGAAGATTGAGAAATAAAGAACCATAAAATATTTAAAGAGGCGGACAGATAGAAAAGCGAAGAAGACAAAATTTTAGTAGTAATTATTGTCAGTAACAATGCCCATGAGAAACGAATGTATGTAACAATTTTTATAACGCTATTAACAACTTTAATATAGCAATTAACATCAGGTTTTCTGGGAAATTCAACAAACTCCAGCGACCAGAAACAATTTTTTTTGAAAATTTTTATAACTTCGATATAACCGTTAACAACTTTTGTAACGCTATTAACAACTTTAGTATATCAGTTAACAACAGATTTTTCGGAAAATTCAACAATTAGTCACTGGAGCTCCAGTGGAGGAAACCAATTTTTTTTGAAAATTTTTACAATTTCAGTATAACGGTTAACAATTTTTGTAACTCTATTAACAACTTCAATATAGCAATTAACAACAGATTTTCTGAAAAATTCAACAAACTCTAATGACCGGAAACAATTTTTTTGAAAATTTTTACAATTTTAATATAACCGTTAATAATTTTTGTAACGCTATTAACAACTTTATTATATCAATTAACAATAGATTTTTAAAAAAACTCAACAATTGGTCGCTGAAGCTCCGGCGGAGGAAACCAATTTTTTAAAAATTTTTACAACTTCAGTATAACGGTTAACAACTTTTATAACCTTATTAACAATTTCAGTATAGCAGTTAACAACAGGTTTTTGAATTTGTTAAAGGCATTACTGAAGTTATAAAAATGCCATTTTTTGAATTTTTTTGAAAAACTTATTGTTAACTGCTATACTAAAGTTGTTAATAGAGTTACAAAAGTTGTTAACCATTATACTGAAGTTGTAAACATTTTCAAAAAAAAATTATTACCGGTCGTCGGAGCTTGTTGAATTTCCCAGAAAACCTGTTGTTGATTGCTATATTGAAGTTGTTAATAGTATTATAAAAGTTGTTAACTGTTATATTAAAGTTGTAAAAATTTTCAACTTCAGTATAATGTTAACAGTTACATTTTTTTGAAAATTTTTACAACTCTAATATAACGGTTAATAACTTCGATATAGCACTTAACAACAAGTTTTTCGAAAAATTCAAAAAGTGGCATTTTTATAACTTCAGTAATGCTTTTAACAAATTCAAAAACCTGTTGTTAAAACTTATTTTAGTTGGATTTTATTGAGCATACATAAAATTGTCATGCCTCAATAATGGCAAGATGGACTAGAGGGTCACTAATCTAGCTGAACCTGATTTATCATATATATAAATAAATATATGTGTACGTGTCAAATTTTCATGAGATCAATTTTCCAATCACTGTACATATAGTATCCCAAAGTATTTTGTGTTGCATTTTGCATTCTGAAATATTTTTTATAAGCGTGTCCAGCACTGTGAAGTGCTTTTTGATGTATCTAAAATTTTAAAATATTTTTTTCGGGCATCCAACACCTAAAAATATTTTTTTGTGCATATAGCACCGAGGTAAAAAAATATTTCAAGGTATTAGATGTACCTAGAAAATATTTTAGAATGCTGAATACACCACAAAATATTTTAGAATATTAGATGTATCTTAGAAAATATTTTGAGATGCTGAATGTAACTTAACCCATAAAAAAAGAAATCCTCCACCATAATAACAGTATAAATCTTAATTAAATGGGATATGCTTTAAGAAAGTAAAAGAATGAAGTAGTATTAATGAGAAGGCCTGATAAAGTTTTAGGCAAAGTAGTGAGAAAGCCTGATAAAGTTTGATGCAAAGAAAGTCTCACTTGTGAATTTTGTACTTTGATTTAGGTCTTTTTTACTGATAAAATTTTTTATGGGGGGAGATTTCCCCAATTTTCCCAAATTCATATATATCAAATTACAATGGCTAATTATTCAACTTTATCACTTTTCATTAAAAAAAGGGTTTCTTCAATTTGATTGAAATTTACATTCGAAGTTTAAATAATCAATTAAAAGACGATCTCCCCAACAAGGCTAACATAAAATAAACATATTGTTGTATGATTAGTGTGGAATGCTTTTTTGACGATTTGGGTGTGGAAAAAAGATACCTTAACATTAAAAATATTTAAAAGGCTTAAAGAAAATACTTCCATTGGACCAACATATAAAATTGAAGATTGAAAAATAAAGAAGCATAAAATATTTAAAGAGGGGAACAGACAGAAAAGCCAAGAAGACAATATTTTAGTAGTAATTATTGTCAGTAACAATGCCCCTGCGAAACGAATGTAGATACATCATAGGCAATATTTTATTTAACGTTTAAAAAAGTACCATTCATGATAGTTTATAACTATATTTTTCATTTATTCCGATGTATCAAAAAAAGTTTCATCGTGTAAATTCAATTTAATTCAAATTTTATTATATTTGGTTTCTTTTTTATAACACTTTTTTTTTCATAATCTTATTTATTTATGATACTTGCCTATATTTACTATGTATCAAAATTTGTACATAAATTTCAATAATTTACCATTATTCAATATTTTCATATTGTATATATGGTGTTTTGTTTCTGGGAGGGTAGTTAGAAAATGTTCTGTGTAAAGTTAGTAAGGAAAAAAAAACTACTGCCTTTTTGACAATTTGGACGGGGAAAAAGATACTTTAATACTAAAATATTTAAGCGGCTTAAAGAAGACAATTCTATGGGGCCAACACATTTGAAGATTGAGATGCAGGGAGGCATAAATTATTTAAAGAGGGGGCACAGAAAAACGAAAAAGGCAGCATTTTATTAATAAATGGTTACCCAATTTGCTTTTACTACCCACAAATCGATGATAAATAATTAAAAACAGAATAATAATATTGGAAAAGACTTGTAAAGTTGACTTGATGACCGGATATCTAGGACTTGAAATCTCATATACTTATGACGTCAAATTTCCAATCATGACAATAAAAAATCCTAATAACCATAAAAACAATACAAATCTTAATTAAGTGGGATACGCTTTTAGGAAAATTAAGTTGATATGATTTTTATTCAGTTAAATAATTTTTTTAAAAAAAATGAAGGAAAAGAAAGATGAGGAATAATATAACAAAACATATGAATTTAATTCTGCTTTGCATTATCCGGAGCGCCAGCAGAAATGTGGCAGTAGAAGGGGTCGACTGTAGAAAAGGGGAGAAAAAGAAAAACAATACGTGAAATAACGAAAACCGAAATGACGTTTATACTTACCTACCTCCAACGTTTCTTGTTTAAGTATAGAAACGCATTCTCATCTTTGAAAAATATTCAGAAGTTCTTAATTAGGCATTTTGGTCTGATTGGTAGTTTGTTAAAAGTATAAATAAAAATTTAAATTTTAATATTTTAACTGGATTTAACTGAGATTTTCCTTTATTTTTGTTATCCTTTGTCTTTATATAATATATAGATAAAAATATAATTTAAATTAATTTTATTAATTTATTTGAAAACTTCATTTTATGTTAAGTTCATTAGTTATTACTCCTCCCGATCCTAAATATAAGATTTAATTAGAAAGTTGATATTGATCCTATATGTAAGACCTATTTTATATATTTATCAATTTTCCTCGACAATTCCCTTAACAATAATCAAGTAGAAGAGAGAGTGAGGAAATTAAGAAAGATATTTAAGATGTCTTAAAAAAATATCATATTAATTAATTTAACTAGCATCCTGAATAATATACTTAAATTAGCTAATTAAGTCTTACATTAAAGACCAAAATAGTACTTATTATTACTACTTCCTTGACATAAATATGAAGAAGAGACGACAGAGAGCTTATTATTTTTTTTTCTAGGCATAGGTATTTTTTTATTTAAGATAATTATGTTTAAATCACTATCAGACATTAAATATGATTGGGCACCTCTCCTAACATAAGTTTGAACCATGACACACAATGTTGTGAAAAACTATTCCTTTTATTGTACTTAAATCTCGTTGATCAAAAGGAGGTATGGTTAGAGCCGGGAAAACGGGTCGAGCCCATCGGGCCGGCCCGTTTAGGCCCTGAAATTACGAGGGCCGGGCTTGATATTTTTCTCTTAAAATGAGAAAGAAGCCCTGGAGGGCCGAGGGCTTAAAAGGGCCGGCCCTGGAGGGCCGCGGGCCGGCCCTTTTAAGCCCTTTTATAATTTTTTTTATTTTTTAAATTTTTTTATATAATATTAATGTTATTAATTTTTTACATTGTTAATAATATTTCAAATATTTAGTTATTATTATCATTTTAAAATTAAATTTAGTTTTAGACAATAATTTATCTAATTAAATTTTTAAAAATCGGTTAATTTAGACTTTAATAATGATTTGATTTATATTATATGCGTTGATATTTTTAAACTATATATATATTTGATAATAGAATATTTTTATACTTATATAACTTGTGATTCTATAATTTGAATTAGAAATTCATGAGTTTCAACAACAATGTTTCTCACATTAAAGTAAAATAATAGTTAGATTGCAAAATTCAAAAATAAAATTCTTATAAAGAAGAAAAACTTGATATTTTTGTTACGAAAGAAAAGCATACTTATGAAGAAAAGTAATTAATTATAGTGATGATGAAGTTTCAAAAGATGAATGATAGTATTTATTTATTGCACAATTGCATTATAAATAAAACTTTTAGATGTTGTTATCTTGTTAATGAATGTTTTAGATGTTCTTAGATGTTGATGAATATTTATATATGATGATATTTTATATTTGTGACTTAATTTTATTCATATTTATGTCTTTTATTAATAATTTCATTGGTTTATTTTTATATTTTTATAAAAAAATTTGATAAATATAAAAAAATAGTATTTTTCCTTAAACGGGCCAAAAGCCCGCGGGCCGGCCCTGGCCCTGTAGCTTAAGGGCCGGGCTTAGCAAATTGGGGTATTTTTAAAATTTCAGCCCTGGAGGGCCGGCCCTTTTAAGCCCACCAGCCCTGAAGGGCCAGCCCTGGAGGGCCGGGCCGGCCCTGATTCCCGGCTCTAGGTATGGTATTAATACTAATGTGAGACTGCGGTCGTGGGCATGAAATTCCTCCGCGAAAAAAAATTTATGACCACAAAATTTGCAACAGGTCATTCACAAAAGCATAAATCCACTGTAAAATCCATCTGAAATTTCAGACTTAGCTAACAACTGAATTTTAAATGTAGTAACGATAGAACTGGATAGACGATAGAAGTTTCCATTTCATTTCTTTCAAACTAGTATATTTGGTCAATTTTCTAAAAATAATAAATAAAAAAAACTATAATGCAAGTACTTACAGAATTTATTTTAAACAACTCAAGAACACAGCACACAAAATTTTATTAATGAGAAGGCCTGATAGATGTTTATGCTCAGATAGTATCAGTACTTTGTAATTTGTACACACAAAATATTGGTACTTTGATTTAGGTCCTTTTCAGCAATAAAATTTTTTTATAAGGGATTTTTTCCCAAACCCAAATTCATATATATCAAATTAAAATCGTTAATTATTCCTTTTTTGGACTGAAAATCGATAATTATTCAGCTTTACCGCTTTTCATTACAAAAAGGTTTCTTCAATTTGATTGAAATTTAAATTCGAAATTTAAATAATCAATTAAAAGACGATCTCCCCAAGGCTAAGATATTATAAACATGTTGTTGTGTGGCTAGTGCAGAATGCTTTTTTGACAATTTGGGTGCGGAAAAAAGATACTTTTACAACAAAAATACTTTAAGAACTTAGGAGAAATTTTCTATTGGGACAACACGCGTGAAGATTGAGAAATAAAGAAGCATATTCCACCAGAAAAAGAAATAAAGAGGAGGGCAGGTAGAAAAGCGGAGAAGGCAATATTTTATTAGTTTATAACTATATTTTTCATCATTTAAATTTAATTTCATTCAAATTTTATTATATTTGTTTTCTTTTTTATAACAGGTTTTTTTTTCATAATCTTATTTATGATACTTGACTATATTTTCTATGTTATAAATTTCAATAATTTACCATTCAATATTATCATATATTGTATATGTGAGGGTCTTGCCGATTGATTCCGGAAGGATAGATTGTCCTTCTGTGTGAAGCTAGTGACCAAAAAAAAAAAAGGTATCATTTGGGTGGGGAAAAAGATGCTTTAATACTAAAGTAAGGCATAAAGAAAACATTCCTATTGGGCCAACACATTTGAAGATTGAGAAAGAGAGAGGCATCAAAGAGGCGAATACAATGGACGATGAATAATTTAAAATAGAATAATAATATGAGGAAGACTTACAAAGTTGACTTGGTGACTGGACAACTAAGAAGACTCGTGAAATCTCATGTACTTTCAATAACTCCTCCATAACTGAAGTCTCACAAGTTAACATTATTTCGCAGTGCTTTTTCAAAATAGATCTTAGTGCTCTACTTTTCTGGTAATTAAGTGCGTTACGTTATTGATTCATTCTTTTAAAGTTTTATCTCGTTTTGTTTAAGTCTTTGTTGTGATCTCCAGTAAGTTTTGTTCTCAAAGCGATCTGATTTGGACAGAAAGCTATAAGGAGACTACTCGATCTCTTGTTGAAGGCATCGTCAAGCAATTTGTAGTCTGCAAAACACAGGTAAGTTCATCACTTTCCCTTTATATCTCTTATTTACTTTTCATTTGTCACTGGGTTTAATGATATTACAAGTTTGTGTCTCTCTTCTACTTTGTTACTTAGACTTGAAAGGAAACATTAATTTCGCTTTTTTAGATAATGCTCTTCTACGTAAGCAATCTCTTCATGACTAGCTAAATAATTTTCAATTGATATTGACAATAATATTCATTTGATAAAGCTATAATAACTTCAGCAATCCATTCGAAAATTTAAAGTTGGGGAAGATTTTTGGGGAAGCAGTAGAAACAACATTGAGCTTCAGGCCAAAAAAAAGGAAACAACAGTGTGCTTTTGAAATGAATCAAATTTACTATATACACTTCAATAAAAGAGAAAATAAATTTTCAGTTTGGTCGATCTTTTAGTCCTGCAGTACTGGTATAAATTGTGGTCCTTAAATGAAACTTTTCCTTAAATTTTTCTGTCAAACACAATCAAGTGTCATAACTTTAAAATTTATCATTAAATTATAAATTAAAATTGAACAACTACCCAAATGCGATTGGAAAATTCCACATAATAAATTTAAAAAACTTGATGTAAGTGCTTTTCTTGAATTGTTATACTGTATTTCCTTTTTATAAGTTAGACTTTGAACATATCTAAAAAGTTAATATAAATTCTGATTCATTAAATTTTTATTTTGATTTTAGTGTCTCAAATTTTTTATTTAAAATATTAATTTTTATAATTTAATAAATATTTAGACTATTTTATTTTTTGATTAGTCAAAATCTATTATTTTAAATTTGATAGAATAAAGCGTCTATTTAGTGAAAAATTCCACCTCAAGGTACAAAAATAGGGTGGTGGACTACAGGCTGTAATTGCCTGCAGATATAAATAAAAGTCACGCTCAGGGCTTCAGGCTAGAGCTAGTAATACGCGGGCTCAACCTGCTAAGGAGTGACAGGTTGGGTTGATAAAAATTAAATTCTTTTTAAAATGGATTTTTTGAGCCCGTAACCGTCAAGATTGAACCTGCGGCTAATCCGTAGGGTTGGTGGTCCGGCACGTTTTATTTTTTAAAATTTTTCCCTCCCTCAAATATAATTATGTTTAGTTCTTTAATCTTTTATCTCATTCTTATTATTTAAAATTATCATAATGTAATATATCTTTTGTTTTGTATTGTAAATTTTACTTGTGTCAGAGTTATTTGAGCAAAAAGAAAGTAATTCTACTTATGAAGTTTAACCAAATAATTTCACATCTTTATATCATTTTTTGAACTATATTAATATTGAATGATAGCGCATGGTTAAGCACTTGATAGTGATGTGTCATATTGTGTTTGTATTATTATTAATTTACATTTGTTATGTTTTAATTTGGGATGTATGTTTAATCACTTAAGATGATATATCATGTATGCTTATAGTAGTATTTTGGAATGTTTAGAACTTTGGATTTCGTATTTTATTTATAATAATTTTTATACGTATATTTTATTTTAGGTGTTTAAAAATTAGAATGAATTTTATTAAAAGAAAACAAAAAACACAAAAAAAAAATTTTTAAAAAAAAGTGGTAGGTTGGCGGGTCTATCCTGACGGGGTGGGTTGGAAAAATATCAACCTGCTAGAAATCGGCCCTTTTAGGACAGGCCCGTCAGTCTTTGAGCTCGCCACAGGCCAACCCATAACCAACGGGTTGACCCGTATTACCGGCTCTACCTCAGGCCTGTGAGCCTCTATACGGAAAATGCGTCTGTTTGCTCTGCTTTGTCCGTATTATGTGACTAAATTGACGTGCATTAATCAGGAGCTAACATTTGATAACATGACTGTTAACTAATCATAGTTTAGAGTTAAGAGAGAATTACAGTGAGATTTCAAGTGAGGAAAAAATTGAAAAACAAATATTAAAAGTTGTCATTCTCACTATAGGACTTGTCATTATATAGTGTTAAAGTTGTTATTGAGGTTTTTTAATAATTATTTTTTTTGTGGGATTTGATTGTAAATTTTTCTAAACTTTATTGTGCGATATGCTGACATTTAATGTTTAAAAAAATTGCTTTTAATAAAAAATAAATTATGCATAACAAAAAAATCAAGTAATAATTTCAACATAGCTGGCAATTAAATTTCACACGACCAACAAAAGCAGCATAGAATCCAATACACATTTCAATATATTTTTGTTTGTCTTCATTTGATGCTCGTTACAATAATGTGTGCCGGATAAAAATCAATTTCCTTTTAGGAAAAAATTATCTAATTCTAATGCCAATCTAAAAATAATTTTTGGGTTTAAATTGATTTTTGGACTTTTAAATTGGCTTTTGAAACTACGAAAGCCAATACAGTGCCTGTTTAGTAAGACGTTTGAGGGGTAAAAAGTCACTTATAAATATGATAAGTTAATTTGTAAATTTATGAACTATTTATCACAATTTTTTGGTCAATCTGATTTATAAGTCATAAACTATTTTTTTAAGCACGGTTGTAAAAGTATCTAAAACTTATTTATAACTTATGAAAAAGTAATATTTTTGGATTAAAAGGCATTTTTGCTTTTGTGTCTATGTTATTTTTATGTTTCTCTCTATGCATCTTTTGTACATCCAAATCAATTTTTAGTTATTTATTTTTGATATTATCTTAAAGAAAATAAGTTTTAACAGTTTTTATAATATGCTTAAATTTTAATATTATTTTTTATTTCATGTTGGTTCAAAATTTTTCACATCAGTATAATTTCCAGTTCAAATATATTTTATTTATTAAATATAATTTATTATTATAATAATTTAAAATTATTATATTTTGTAAATTTATATTTTTAATTATTTTTTATTATTTAATAAAAATTATATCTATTTTGATTATCTTTTAGAAAAGGACATTTAGCTGTATGTGTTCAGTGAGGCAAGATAGGATTTGAAAGGGTAAGGGCACTGTTGAAGCCTTAATAACAACCTACCTAATGCAACAGTAATTAATTTAACCAATTAAATTTCAAACTCAATATCCCAAGAAACATATATCAACGTAACTCTTCAAAAGAGATAGCATAAAATCACAATAATGGTATTAGAAGTCATGAGAATGCGAAGCTGGTAATGGGATAATTTCACTATTTGATGGGAAAGAAGAGATGTCTGACAGGCTGTATTGAAGGCCACGCTTAGGCCTGGGCCCTACATGACAGGACCATACACACATTATTGGAGAGAGGAGAAGCACGAAACCATGCTTAATTAAACTACAAAGAGAAGGAAATTACATAAATCATCAATTAATTATAACAAATATGAGAGTTAGTTATAATAAATATGAGAGTGATAGGAACGCAATTTCGCCCAATATTTTTATATAACATTAAATTATAAGATAAAAACTTTTATTTTATTTCCTAACTTAAAAGAATTTTACTTAGGTCCTACACAAAAAAACAAAAGGAAATACATGAGGGTCTAATCCAGGAAAAATAGAAAGAAGGGAGAAAGATGCTTTAATACTAAAATATTTGAAAAGACATAAAGAAAACATCCCTATTGGACCGACAGAGGGGATACAGAATTTGCTTTTACCACTCACAAATCGGTGAGAAATAATTTAAAATAGAATAATAATATGAGGAAGGCTGGTAAAATTGACTTAGGGTGTGTTTGGTTGAAACCAAACCGTGGTTTGGAAAAGTGATTCTAGAGAATAGATTCTGTGAAGAATAGATTTTGTAAAAAAGTGATTCTGAGAAGTGAGAGTGTTTGGATAGTTGTTATCAGAAGCACTTTTTATATATACAAATTACTAAAAAAAAGACATAAGTTAATATGATAATTACAAAAAAAATAGATTTTATGATATATTTTAATTTGAAGGAATAAAATTGTTAATAATATATTTTTTACCAACATAATTAATAATACATAAGATAATATAATTAATAAATAATTAATATGTATATATATTTATAAAATATAAGATTGAATATGTTTATAAAAAAATATATTTATAAAAAAAATAACAAGATACATATCATATAGGCTCTCACACTCTCCCTTTTTTCTCCAAAAGCAAAAAAATTTTGCTTTTTCCAAAACCATGGTTTTAACCCAAAACCATGGTTTTGACCCAAAACCATGGTTTTGGTTTTTAGGGGGTGTTTGGGTGATCTATTCCCCAAACCATGGTTTGGGATGTCACCCAAACACACCCTTAGGTGGCCGGATACCTGAAAAGACTCTTGAAATCTCATATGCTTGTGCCTTCCGTAACTCTTCCATCGCTGAAGTCTCATAAGTTACAACTTCGCAGTGCTGTGTGTGCTATCTCAGTGTTCTATTTTTCTGGTAATTAAGTGTGTTGCGTTATTGATTCATCATCTTAAAGTTTTATCTCATTTTGTTAAACTCTTTGTTACTATCTCCAGTAAGTTTTCTTCTCAAAGCGATCTTACTCTCCTGTGGAAGGCATAGTTGAGTAATTTGCTGTCTGCAGAACACAGGTAAGTCCATCACTTTCTCTTCATATCTCTTATTTACTTTTCGTTCCTCGCTGGGTTTAACTCTATTACAAGTTTGTGTCTCTCTTCTACTTAAGACTTGAAAGGGAAATATTAATTCCTCTTTTTTTTTTTTAGATGATTGTGAGCGTTTTTCTCTTCATGACTAGCTAAATAATTTTGAATTGATACTGAAAATAATATTCATTTGATAAACCTACAATAATAACTTCACCATCCCATTCGAAAATTTAAAGTTAGGGAGATTTTTGGGGAAGCATTAGAGTGTTTTTGAAATGAATCAAACTTATTATATGCACTTCAATAAAAGAGAAAATAATTCATAAATAAATTGTATATCTTTTGATGTTGTAGAGTAAGGAGGAAACAGTAGAAGAAATTGAAGCCGAGATCCTAATTCAGCACTAGAGAAAGAGGCACTCAAAGGTTCAATAGGTAATCCCCATTTGAGAAGGACATCTCTACATATAAATTTATTAATTGGT